GTGCACAAGTCTTAAAGTGGCCAAGATTGGAGACCCCTGACTTAGATGACCCTTCTGGTCCCTCCCAACTCTATCATTCCCGACTGGCTAGGGAATTTTGGGAGTTGAAGTGCACAAGTCTTAAAGTGGCCAAGATTGGAGACCCCTGCCCTAGACCATTTCAGACATAGGGCCGACCAAGCTCTTCTTAAAAACCTCCAGGGCTGAAGCTCCCACTACTTTCTTTTTAGTTAGATAGTTAAGTTTACTTTATTGCCCTTGCACCTCGTGCAACGAAATTAAATACCATCTTCAGTGTACATTATGACTATGAAAATAAAATGCAAACACACATCCTTCGCATTCTATACGATTGAATGAAAAACCCCTGATATTGCATTAATGTTGCATTATACAGTAGAATTCAAGAGAGTTCCTGCCCTGGGATAGAAGCTGTTTTTCAGCCTATTTGTCCTTGTTTTTATTATATACTATCTGCCAGATGGTAATAGTTTTTAAAAAAGGGTATAGGATAGCACTGTTTCAGTATCTCAGGGGCTGCCCCAACTTATTTTCCAAAGCCCCAGAAGGCAGGACAAGAAACAAGGGATGGAAACTCATCCAGGAGAGAAGCAACCTGGAATTAAGGAGGAATTTCCTGACAGTGAGGACAATTAACCAGTGGAACTGCCTGCCACAAGAAAGGTGTGGGTGCTCCAACATGGGAAGATTTTAAGAAGAGATGGGACAGTCACTTGTCCAGAACCCAAAGGTGCTTTTTCCAAGAGGCAACTGGACTTTTTCTTGTTTTTTTCTTTGAAGACGTTTCGCTTCTCCTCCAAGAAGCTTCTTCAGCTCTGACTTGAATGGTGAGGAAGTAGAAGAAGTCAGAACTGAAGAAGCTTCTTGGAGGAGAAGCGAAACGTCTTCAAAGAAAAAAACAACAATAAGTCCAGTTGCCTCCTGGGACAAAAGCACCTTTGGGACAACCGTGACCCGGATGACTGAGAATGTCCACATAGACCTTTGTCCAGAACGGTGCAAAATCTCCTGCTTGGGCATGGGGGGGGGGGTTGGACTAGATGACCTCCCAAGCCCCTTCCAGCTCTAAGATTCTATGCTCTGCACTGTTTGGAAGGGAACCCTGGCCTTTGAGCATTTATTGGCACCCAATGCCAGAGCCGCAAGAGAGAACATCAAGGCATCTTCTGCTTCTCCCACCAGAGAGACGAGCCACAGTGGGGTCATCAACCCCCCCACACACCCCTATTCACCATCGCTCTCTGCCCGGAAGGCGAATGTCCGGTTGTGAGTGATAACTTCAAACTTCTGGTCCCCGATGCTGGACACCTGGGAGATGGAGGCCACCAGGATGAAGCGTTTGGAGTAAACATCCTGCAACGCAGAGGAGAGAGGAGGGGAGGAGGGGGGAACCCAGAGGTGCTCCGTCTGTGCCCCCTTTCTCCCAGGTAGACAGGAAGAGGAGACAATTTCTCAATTCCCAGAGTGTCCCGTCTTCCGTCCATAATAGAGCAACCTGTGCCAGTCGTTCTCTCAACTTCTCTTCATCACGGAGCCCCTTTCAATGCCTTTCATGGGCACGGAGCCCCCCAAGAGTTAAGATTTAAACCATCACCTTGATTCAAGCCTTCAGGGATGTGATGATATGGCCCCTGACCCACCCCCCACCCACCCCCAGGGAGGAAGGGAGAAAAAGAAAGGGAGGGTGGGGTAGGAAGGGAAGGGGAAGAGAAGAGAAGGGAAAAGAGGAGGAGGAGGAGGGAGGGAGGGAGGAGGGGGGGAGAAAGAAAGAAAGAAAGAAAGAAAGAAAGAAAGAAAGAAAGAAAGAAAGAAAGAAAGAAGGATGA